CCGTCAGGGCACAATGTCCCTCCCCCCCTGCTTCAAACCCTTTCCTGGCACCTCTTCTCCTGGAGGATCCAGTTTAAACTCCTCGGATTGATCTTAAAGACCTTTTGTGATCTGACCATCGTCGATAGAGCCAGCTTTCTCTCTCCCCACTCCCTCCCTCCTGTTGGTCACGGCTGTGCATAGTTGTCACTGGCCTCTGTGTGTCTGTGTTCCCGTGCCCTTGCCTCCTGCTTCCTCATGACCCACAGCGCCTGGACCTCCCCCTTTGGGTCCCAATTTGACTGTCACCTCCTCCAGGAAACCTCCCTGCCCACTAGGCATCAGAGTTGCCGGGTGTGTAGCCATCGTCCCCGCTGGGCTGTGGGCTCCCGCGACACCGTGTGTCTGGTGCTGCAGCCACGCCCAGTGCGCTGAATGAACCGGGTGGGAGGAGTTGCAGGCCCGTATCCTCCGCCCTTAGTCAGCCGGAACCTGCACAGCCTCAGCGTGCTGGCCTTCGACCAGGAGCGTCTGGAGCGGAAGGTGAGCGGCCGCCCCACTGCGCATGGGGCAGGACTGGGGGCTCTGCAGGCCCAGGCAGGGCCCGACAGCCTCCTCTGCGTTCCTAGATCTGGCCTCAGGCAAGGCCACGGCGGCCCGTGCCCACAAGGACGTGCCAGCAGTACCAGGACATCGTGCAGCGCAGCCAGTGGCAGGGAGGAGGCGCAGCTGGAACAGGGAGGCGCGGCCATACCGGCGGGGTAGGGCTGTGGATCCGAGTGTCCGGCGGGCAGGGGCTTTGGACGTGGGCGTTCCGGCGGGCTCAGGGGCTTGGGACTCTGGGTGTCTGTGGCGTGTGTTTTTTTAGGGCTTGACTCGGTGTTGTTCTGGCGGTTTTGGGTAGTTGTGGCTTGGACTCGGGTGTCTGGCGGTTTTTTGGTAGGGGACTTAGACAGCATCCGGCGGGCAGGGGCTTGGACTTGGGTGTCTGGCGGGGTAGGGGCTTGGACTCGGGTGTCTGGCGGGGTAGGGACTTAGATGCAGGCATCCGGCGGGGTAGGGGCTTGGACTCGGGCATCCGGCGGGGTAGGGGCTTGGACTCGGGCATCCGGCGGGGTAGGGGCTTGGACACGGCCATCCGGCGGGGTAGGGGCTTGGACGTGGGAGTCCAGCGGGGTAGGGGCTTGGACTCAGGCGTCCGGCGGGGTAGGGGCTTGGACATGGGTGTCTGGCGGGGCAGGGGCTTGGACGCGGGTGTCCGGCGGGGCAGGGGCTTGGATGTGGGCATCCGGCGGGGCAGGGGCTTGGATCCGGCGGGGCAGGGGCTTGGACGCGGGCGTCCGGCGGGGCAGGGGCTTGGATGCAGGCATCCGGCGGGGCAGGGGCTTAGACATGGGCATCCAGCGGGGCAGGGGCTTGGGCACGGGCATCCCGCGGGGCAGGGGCTTGGAAGTGGGTGTGTGGCAGGGGAGGGGCTCAGGAATGGGCATCTGGTTGGGGAGGGGCTCAGGGTGGGCATCCGGCTGGGGGGGGCTCAGGGATGGGATCTGATGGGGGAGGGCCTTTGGGACAGGCACAGTGGGGGAGGGGCGGGGGCCCCTGAGTCCCTCCCCAACCCAGAGGATGCCCACACTCTCCTGCTCCCACCCTGCCCCCGCCCCTCAGAGTACGCAGCCCAGCTGGAGCGGCAGCTGCAGTTCTACACGGAGGCCGCGCGGCGCCTGGGCAACGATGGCAGCAGGGTGAGGCGGGCACGGGCCGGGCGGGCACCGGGTGGCCACAGGGTGGGGCCGGCAGGGATGGCCCGCTGACCGCCCGTCCCCCCAGGAGGCTGCCAAGGAGGCGCTGTACAGGCGGAATCTGGTGGAGAGTGAGGTAAGGGGCTCGGAAGGCGGGGTGGGGGTCGCTGTGGTCGTGGACCCCCCTGACCCCAGCGGCCTGTCCCCCAGCTGCAGCGGCTCCGCCGGTGAGGGGCCGACGGGCGGGCAGCCCCTGGAGCAGCAGGTAGCGGACCCACGGCCGAGGGAGGAGCCGACACGGCCACCCGCCGGACACTAGACAATCAGCGGACAATCGGTTCTGGACTCGTCCCCTCAGGGCCCCCAGCCCAGCCAGAGCCTCCCCGGCTGGGGGCGTCGTGACAATGGCGGCCGCCCCTCACCCAGGCCTGGACGGCGGAGAGTCCTGTTTGCACAGTCCAGGGGCGTGTGGCCTCTGGCCTGCCCCGGGGAGGGGAGGGCGGCTGGGACAAGCCCCAAGGGCCCCTGTGAGCACTTTACTTCCTGTCCCTCCCCGGCCTTAACCCCAAACCCTCCTATACCCCAAAGAAGCCGCTGAGGCTGGCAGGGGGTTGCCGTGGCCCAGCTGGGCCCCCAGGGCCGACACTCAGAATAAACAGCCAGGGCCACACCCAGCTCAGCTCTGTCTTGTCTTTGTTCCTTGCACTGGCCCTTGGTGGCTGGGCTGGGCCTCCCCACCTTCCCGCAGTGTCCCCAAGGGTGGATGGGGAGGCACATCCACAGGAGTGGCCGGACGGGACAGTGTGCTTGTGGAGGGTCCGTGCATCTGTCACCTGTTTCTTCGGCAGGTGGCCCTGCGCGTTTCTGGGTTTACATGGGGCTGGGTGGTGCGTGGTGCTGCTTGGTGTGTCTCAGGACCTCAAAATCCAACCCTGTTGCTCACTGGCCCGGGGGCCTGGACCTGGCGTCCCAGAGCCTCAGTTTCCCCAGCTGGACTCAGGGAGGGTGAGAGCTGCCACTGCAGGGTAACGGGGAGCAGCCAGTGGGCAGAGCCCCCCAAGTGGTACCTGGCCCGTGGTGAGCACTCAGCGTGTTAGGCTTTATTGTCACCAGCCTCATTTGCATGGGGGGAGGGTGTGTCCCACAGGCCACCGTGGTCTCAGCACCTGGAGCGTGCCAGCTGCATGCCTCAGTCCCTCCCGCGTGCCCCAGCGCAGGGCGGAGCAAGCCCAGTCGCGGGGCCCGGGAGAGCCGGGCGGGGGGCCCCAGGTGGGCGCCGTGTCCTCAGTCCATGGCCCAGCGGAGCCCCAGGGCTCAGGAGCCCCCCGCCCGTGGCCCACGCGGGGCGGCGGATGGCAGCCGCACCAGCACCTGCTCCAGGTTGCCCTCCGTGTCCACCAGGCGCAGCTGCGGGAGGCCCAGGAAGGCCTCGGCGGCGATGCTCGTCATGTGAAGCCTGTTGGCCCTGGACAGAGAGGCGGCCATGGGCAGGGGGCAGGGGTGGGCCGCCACCGTCCTGACCCGCCCGGGCGCTCCCCTGCCCCCTCGTCCTGCCCAGCCGCCCACCCCTGCACCTGAGGAAGAGGGCGCGCAGGCGGGGCGTGCTGAGGAAGGCTTCGGGGCCCACGTGGCCGATGCGGTTGCCCTCCAGGTGCAGCTCCTCCAGGGCCTCGGGCAGGTCCGGGGGCACAAAGGACAGCTCATTGTGGCTGAGGTCCAGCACCTGGGCGGGCGGGGCAGAGACGGCTACGTGGCGGCCCCAGGTCCCCGGGCCATCGGGCTCAGCGGCCCCCAGCCCCTCTCCCCGCAGGCCCTCCCGGGGCAGGCCCTGTTCCCGGCACTGGGGACAGACAGACAGGTCCCGGCCTAATTCAGGGAGTCACTGACGGAGGTGGTATTTCCTCCACACCACAGCCCCCGCCACCTCTAACACTCTGTCATTTACTAATTATGATGGCGGTAGACTGCCTTGCTCCCTGACCGGGATGTTTGGGGGCGAGGGGGGGGACAAGAGCTGTGTCGTTCAGTGCCCAGTGCCTGGCACCCACCGATGCTTCTAGAACTCTGGAATGGACAGTACTAGAAGCGGAGGCGGGGAGGTGGAGGGGCTGGTGGCAGAGGACCGGGTGTCAAGGACAGCACAGGCAAAGTCCTGGAGGCTGGGTCTGTCTCAGCAACCCCAGGGCTGGCCCGTAGTGGGGACGAGGCCTTGGGGTGGGGAAGAACTTGGCAGGCAGCGGAGGGGTGGGGACGGCGCGGCTAACCAGCCTGCCCCTGACCTGGAGGGCCTGCAGCTCGTGCCAGGTGCCGGGCCCAATGTCACCGACCCGGAGCCGGTTGTGCGCCAGGCTGAGCTCCCGCAGCTGGTCCAGGCCGGCCAGGGGCTCGGGCTCCAGCCCCCGCAGCTGGTTGCGCTGCAGGCGCAGGGCACGCAGGCCGGCGGGCAGGCCCGTGGGCAGCCGCGTCAGCTGGTTGCCAGCCAGGTCGAGGCTACGCAGCCCGCGCAACCGGCGGAAGGCCCGGCGGTGCACGCGGGCGCTGGCCAGGCGGTTATAGGCCAGGTTGAGCTCCGCCAGGCCGGGCGTAGAGGCCAGGTCTCGGGCGCCCAGCGCGGCCACGCGGTTGTGGGGCAGCACCAGGGCGTGCAGGCGGCGGGGCAGCGCCAGGGGCACGCGGTCCAGCCCGTTGCCGTAGAGGTGCAGCGTGTGCAGGCCCCGCAGCGGCCGCAGCGCCCCGGCGGGCAGCCCCGCGCTCCCCAGCGCGTTGTGCTGCAGCAGCAGGTAGCGCAGCGCCCGCGCCCCCCGCAGCCGCCCCGCCTCCACCCGCCGGATGCGGTTCCGGCCCAGGTGCAGGACGGCCAGGGTCCGGGGCAGGCCGGCGGGCACCGTGGCCAGCTGGTTGTGGGACAGGTCCAGGTACTCGAGGCTGCGCAGCTTGCTGGTGGGAGAGGGGGTCGGCATCAGGACAGGCACCCAGAGCCGGGACCTGTCGGGTCTCGCGGGGACGGTGACGGGGAGGGGTCCGCGGATTCAGGCCGGAGATTGCAACCTGAGGGTCGTGAGTTGAGGGATCTGGGCGGGAGGGAAATGTGGGGTGCTCGGGGCAGGTGCCGGCCTGAGAGCTGTGGAGGTGACCAGGAGAGAGTCCTGGGTCCGAGAGAAATGCGTGTGGCAGCTTTGACGTCCGTCAGCTAATGCAACCTCAGTGCAGGGCGGCAGGGAACGAGGACACCTGCCCCATGAGCAGGAGGCACTCGCCAAGTGTGGCCTTGAGTTAGAGCCATTCGGGGGAGGGGGACAGAAGGTGGGACCCCCACCCAGACTATAGATACGCAGGCTCCTCTGCCCCCACCAGGCAGCACCTGAAAGTTGTGGCGTCCAGGCCGTTGTCCGTCAGCTGGTTGTGCTGTAGGTAGAGCTCTCGGAGCTGGGTCTGGTGGCTCAGGGCTCCTCGGGGCACCTTGGATATGAGGTTGTTCTGGAGAAAGGAGGAGAAGATGAGGCAGAGGGTCCAGGAGAGAGGACAGAGGGGAGCTATAGACGGCTCTTGAGTAAGGGAGTGGCAGGGGGCCGGCCTTGAGCAAGGCCGCTGAGCGAGTGCTTGCAAACAACCCGTGTCAGTGGAAGTGATTTAAAGAAAGGCCATTCCGGCCGCTGGGATTTTTGGGGATATTTGGGAGAATGGGAAGCGGGGGTGCCCCAGGGCAGAGACGAGAGAAGGGGGCCTGAGCCGGGCGGCGGCGGGCCGGGAGGTGGAGGCACCTGCAGGTGGAGCCGCTCCAGCGAGGCGGGCAGGCTGGGCGGCAGGTAGCGGAGCCGGTTGCTGGAGAGACTGAGCGTGGCCACGGCCTCGGAGCCGCGGAAGGCGTCGGCCGGCAGCCCCGCGTTGTCCAGCTGGTTGTTGTGGAGGTACACGGACCTGAGGGGAGCCAGGCTCCGGCCACCGGCCTGCCCCGCCTCCCCGCAGCCCCTCCCGCCCCGACCCGCCTGGGGCCGCCTTCAGCGCGCCAGTGCGTGTGTGAGTGTGCAGCTGTGTGCGCACGAGTGTGTGCATGAATGTGCGTGTGTGCGTGTGAGTGCGAGTCTGGATGAGTGTGTGAATGTGGGTGTGTGCGTGTGCGTATATGTGAGTGTGCTCGTTGGATGTGTGTATGAGAGTGTGTGCATGTGCGTACATGTGTGTGTGTATATGTGCTCGTTGGATGTGTGTATGAGTGTGTGTGCATGTGCGTACATGCGTGTGTATATGTGCTCATTGGATGTGTGTATGAGAGTGTGTATGTGCAGTTGCGTGTGCGTATGAATGTGTGTGCGAGTGCGTGTGTATGTGCATGTGTGTGCATGTGTGTATATGTGAGTGTGCTCATTGGATGTGTGTGTGCGTGTGTGTGTATGTGAGTGTGCATGTTGGATGTGTGTATGAAAGTGAGTGTGCGGGTGTGTGCGTGTACATGCATGTGTGTGCACGAGTGTGTATATGTGAGTGTGCTCGTTGGAAGTGTGTGTGAGAGTGTGTATGCAGGTGCAGGTGCAGGTGCGTGTGCGTGCGTGTGTGTGCCCGCATGCTCTATCTGCAGCCTGCAGTTCTCAGGACATGCGTAGGGGGCCCTGCCTCCCCCTTGGGACCCCAGGGTGGAACTCTGCCCCTTACAGACCCCCAGGGAAAGGACCTAACCAGCCCCCCAGCCTCTCACAATGGGACAGCGACCCTTGCCACACCTGAGGCAGGGGCGGGGCCAGGCGGGGCCAGGGCCTACCTGAGCGCAGGCTTCTGCCCGAAGGTCAGGGGGAAGATCTCCATCACCTGGTTGGCAGCCAGGTCGGCCACGCGGAGGGAGCGGGGCAGGAACTGGGGGGCCACGGAGAGCTGGGGCAGCACAGCACACGGCACGCTGGTCCCATGCGTCCCGTGTCCCCCGCTGTCCCCAGGGCTGCTCCCCGGCTGGGCAGGCCCGTGGGGCCAGCTCACCTTGTTGTGGGCCACGTAGATGTGCTGCAGCTGCGTGAGGGACTCGAAGGCTTCATCGGGCAGGCCTGGGGGGGCGGGGGCGGTGAGGGACCCCAGGCCTGGCCTTGCTGGCCGGGAGCTGCTGGGCTCCGGCCTGCCCCAGGGCCCAGCTGGGAACTGGCAGAGGCTCGCCCCCCCACCCCTGCTCAAAAGCCACATGGCCCCCTCCAGCCCCCCCACCCCGAGTTTCCGTCTTGCTCAGCAGAGGGCAGTTCTGGGAACCGCCACAGAGCTGCCGCAGCGGCGGGCAAGGGCGGGGTGGCAGCTGCGACCTCACCCTCGGAGGAGATGCGGTTGTTGTGGAGGTTGAGGGTCCGCAGGCTGCTGAGGCGCGACAGCTCGTTGTAGGGCAGCTCCTGCAGCTGGTTGTTCTGCGGGACGGGGTGGGGACGGTCACACCCCTGACTCTGGGACCGTTCGCTGCCCAGTGACCCCAAGCCCTGATCCTCAGCTCCCCATCAGCCCAGACAAACCCAGCACCCCGTCACCCTGACCCCAAGAAACTGCCAAGACCTGACCCCTCCGACACCCCCACAATCAACCCCAAATGCCCCAACCCCCCGACGGTCGACCCCAAATGCCCCATCAACCCACCTTAACCCAAAACAACCCCATAACCACCAAGACCTTGGTCCCAACACCCCCCTCACCCCACAATCAACCCCACCCAAACTTCCCCTCGCTGGCAAGATGTTGACCTCCCCGGCCCCCCCATAATCAACGCCAAATTCCTCATCACATGACCCCAAACAACCCCAAGATGCTGACCCCAGCATCCCCTAACCCTTACCGCCAGCCCCTCTGTCCCCTGGCACACGGTCAAGGCCAACCTCCAGCGCTGCCACCTCCTCACCCCCTCCCACGGGTGGGGCCCCTGCACGCCCCGCCAGCACCTCTGGCCTCTGGTCTCACCCCCCTGGTCCCCACCCTCCTGTCCCCTCCCCGGGCTCCACCTGCAGGGAGAGGTGCTGCGCAGCCCTGGTGATGTTGTCTGGGAACACACGAAGGTCCAAGCCATTGCAGTCCACGGTGTCCGCCCGGGGACAGGAGCAGCGCGGGGGGCAGGCCCGGGGCGGGGGCTGCGAGCTCTCCCCCAGGTGGGGGAAGGTGGCATCCTCCATGCCGGGGGTGGCCAGAGGGCCCGGCCACAGCAGGAGCAGTAGCAGGCTTAGCCGCTGGGAGGGGAAGGAGGGAGGGGTCAGCGTGTCCCCAGGCCGGGCACAGGGTCGCCATGGCGACTGCAGCATCCCCCTCCTCTGGGGAGGGACTGGGTGGCGGGGCGGGTGGCAATAGCCAACTGGCAGAGCTGGGGTGGGGGGGTGGGGGGCGGTGGGCCCCACCCTCAGACCCTCCCCTGCCCCCCTTACCATAGCCGGCCGACTCCGCCGTCTCCCCGAGCTGCGGACCAGGCTCCCTAATGGAAACCAGGCGGTCACCTCCTGGAGCCTCTGCCGGGGCCGCCACCGCCCCCCATCGCTCAGCCCAGGCCACCCCCCGCGCACAGCCGGTTCTCCCGAGGACCAGGGGGACGCCGGCCCACCCCCTTCTCCGCCCTGGGGAGGGCGGGCAGGCAGCCGGATGGGGTGGTGAGGACAGGCTGGCCCGTCCCCTCAGTCCCCCTCCAACAACCACCCCAGCTCTGCTTTCGTAACCTCAGCCAGCCTGGGCCGGCCACGGGACGAGGAATGTTTGGGGAAAAGCTGAGATTCGCCCTGTCTGGTATTTGGGCCGACCGCAGGAGTAGGGGTGTGGAGGGAGGCGTGGGGAGGCTTTGGGGCACAGGGGCGTCCCCACGGAGGAGCAGGGGCCGGCAGGGAGGGGTCTGGAGGGGAGCCTGGGGTGGGTGGGCTCTGGACCAGGTCTCCGGCCCCGGCCCCTCCTCCCCTCTGCCGGCCGGTCCCGCGGCAGCCAGACGCCCCCCTCCCCAAATGGCCACAGCCGCTTGAGAGGAAATTACATGTATCCGGGCCCCAGCCGGTGGTTGAGGATGTGAGCTTGGTGCCAGCCTGCCTGGGTCTAAACCTGGGCTCTGCCGCTTCTCTGGGCCTCAGTTTCCCTCCCTGTAAAGTGGGATCATGGTTGTCTCATGCCACAGTGGTGGTGTAAGGATCGAATGAGGGGGTGCGGGTGAAGCCCCAACATGGGAGTGGGGTGCCGCGGGGAGGTGGTGAGGAAGCCAGTCTCCGCCCAAGGTCAAACCCCCTCGTTCCTCCGCTTACCAAGGGGGCGACTTCGGTCAAGTCCCTGTCCTGCCCAAATCTCAGCTTTCCCACACGTAAACTGGGGACAGCAGAGAGCCCTTCCCCTCAAAGAGTTGTCGTGAGGCAAAGAGCGGTAGCGGGAGAACCTTCTAAGACTGGTGTCTGCTCCGCTTGGGAGTGGCCGAGGCACCGGGCTGGGTGCCTGGCAAGGGCGGGGACAGAGGTTGGGGTCTCCCAGAAGCAGAGCTTGAGACGAGGATTGAGTGCGTTTATTCCAGAGATGACAGGTGGTGACACAGGGACAGGAAACACTGAGTGGCCTGAGCAAGAGCGAGACCCCATCTCTACAAAAAATTTAAAAATTAGCCGGGTTTGGTGGCGCACACCTGCAGTCCCAGCTACCCAGGGGGCAGAGGCAGGAGGATCGCTTGAGCCCAGGAGTTGGAGGCTGCATCGAGCTGTGATGGCACCACTGTATTCCAGACTGGGCGACAGAGTGAGACCCTGTCTGGACAAAAAGAAGAAGAAAAAGAAGAGAGAAAGAGAGAGAGGGAGAGGGAGAGGGAAGAGGAGAGGGAGGGAGGGAGGGAGGGAGGGGAAGGAAGGAAGGAGAGGAGGAGAGGAAGGAAGGAAGGAAGGAAGAAGGAGGGAGGGAGGAGGGGGGAGAGGAGGGGGAGACTGAAGATGAACTCAGGATTGGGAAGCAGAAATTGTCTTCTTGGCCGAGACAGTTCTGGGGTAGAGGGTTCCCAGACCTGTTGAGTCAGTCCCCACACATGCCCGTTGGTCCCTTTGGCATCTGGTGGCTTTCCCCAATGCCGAGTCTGGAAGGCATCTCAAAGCCCAGTCTTGGATTTTATAATAGCAATCTATGGAAGCGACTGGGGAAGTCACACATCTCACACCAGTCAAGGGGACATGACTCTTAAGCTGTAAGCGAACACAGGCAGGCAAGCCAGGGAACAATGGCTGTTTTGTTTTGTTTTTTTTTCAACTATGCCCATAGCTTTGCAGAGTTCAGGCCCCTACCACAGTTCCCACCTTGTAACCCTTTATTCATTTTATAAAGGGCGGTTTCATGTTGCAATCCTAACCCCGAAAGCGGTGATATTAAGAGGTGGGGCTTTGGGGAGGCGATTAGGTTATGAGGGTGGGGCCCTCATGAATGGAATTAGTGCCCTCACTTTACAATGGCAATCAAATCCCAACATGTGTTTTGTAGGGGACAAACCTTCAAACCATGGTGCTATGGCATGCCCAAAAAAGCCACCTACGGGCCCCCAGATTTCGCTTGGGGCAGCAAGATGTTTATGCAATGAGATACAAATAGAAGTTGAAAGGTGGGTCGAGCTCCCTTCCCAGTCTCCCACTGCTTGTCCCCGCTGCCCCCAGGCAAGTGTGCTGGCAGGTGGACTTCCCTTCAGGAGCTACAATGTCCTTCTGTATGATTTGCATGTTTAGTAGAATATACATGTCTTAAATGTGCATAAACCACAGCTGTACTGTGGCAGTGGCCATGATATGAAAGGAGAAGAAAACACAAAAGAGAACACCAAAACCAGCTTGGAGGGTGGAGGTCTCAGGAGACTGCCTGGAGGAGGTTACATCTTTTTTCAGTAACCAGAATATGGACAAATTTTTTCATCGGGATGTTCCCAACAGGGATAAATGACACATCCTTGCTGTGTTTCTGACCTATCTGAGAACTGAGACTGATTGGATGCAGTGGCTCACGCCTGTAATCCCAGCACTTTGGGAGGCCGAGGTTGGAGGATTGCTTGAGCCGGGAGTTTGAGACCAGCCTGGGCAACATAGTGAGACCCCATCTCTCAAAAAAAAAAAAAAAAAGCCAGGCGTGGTGGCTCACGCCTGTAATCCTAGCACTCTGGGAGGCCGAGGCGGGTGGATTGCTCGAGGTCAGGAGTTCGAAACCAGTCTGAGCAAGACCGAGACCCCGCTCTACTATAAAATAGAAAGAAATTAATGGCCAACTAATATATATAGGAAAAAAATTAGCCGGGCATGGTGGCGCATGCCTGTGTCCCAACCACCTACTCGGGAGGCTGAGGCAGGAGGAATCGCTGAGCCCAGGGTTTGAGGTGCTGTGAGCTAGGCTGATGCCACAGCACTCACTCAGCCGCTGGGCAACAAAGCGAGACTCTGTCTCAAAAACAAAACAAAACAAAAAAAAACTTCGCCGAGTGTGGTGGCATGTGACTATAGTCTCAGCTACCCTGGGAGGCTGAGGCAGGAGGATCACTGAGCCCAGGAGTTGGAGACTGCAGTGAACTATGATCATACCACTGCACTCCAGCCTGGGCAACAGAATGAGACCCTGTTTGTAAAAAACAAAACAAAACAAAACAAACCCTGTGACAATGTCCGTGTTGGTGAGGACGCAGTGCAACTGGAATGCTCCTGTATTGTTGCAAGTGTGGATCGATATAGCCACTTTAGAAAACGACTGGGCACATACTGATACCATAATTCCATTCCGGTGTATGTGCCCCAGAGAAACTCTTGCCTGGGGAGAAACGTGCGTGAGTGTTCTAGAAGCACTTGGTATGACACCCTCTGAACTGGAAATATCCACATTTCCCATCACCGAGCTTTCACTACGTGGAAGTGAGAATTGAATGAACCCCAACTACACACAATATGATTAATTCCCAGTGTCATACTGTTGAGTGAAAAAAGCAAGTTATAGGAGACTGCCGCCATTATGAGTCCATTTGTATGAAAGGGCAAAGCCAGCAAAACAAATAATATATCATTTACAGATACCAACTTATGGGAATGATAGAACAAAATTCTAGAAGGTGGTTATCTTAGCAGAGGATAAGCTTAGGGGTCTGTAAGGATACTGGTAATATTTTTTTTTCTTATATAGGTAGAGTGTACATATATTTTAAAATATTATTTTGTATATTCTCAATATTTGAGAAGAAATGCCCAGGTTAGATTGTATTATAATTTTCAGCGATGGCCATAACAGTGTGTCATATACCATGTGCTTGTTTTATAGTGCAACCTTGCCATTCTCCCATCAAGAAATGGCCTCTAAATCACTTTCCCTTCAACTCCGGGTGGATCTTTGTGCCTAATAAAATCAATAGAGTCGGCTGGGTGCAGTGGCTCACGCCTATAATCCTAGCACTCTGGGAGGCCAAGGCAGGCAGATTGCTCGGGGTCAGGAGTTCAAAACCAGCCTGAGCAAGAGTGAGACCCCGTCTCTACTAAAAATAGAAAGAAATTAATTGACCAACTAAAAATATATATACAAAAAATTAGCCGGGCATGCTGGCACATGCCTGTAGTCCCAGCTACTCGGGAGGCTGAGGCAGCAGGATCGCTTGAGCCCAGGAGTTTGAGGTTGCTGTGAGCTAGGCTGACGCCACGGCACTCGCTCTAGCCTGGGCAACAAAGCGAGGCTCTGTCTCAAAAACTAAATAAATAAATTAAATAATAAATAAATAAATAAAATCAATAGAATCTAGTGGGCCTGAGACATTGCAATATAGAGCCTACGTCATGAGAGGCAATATAAATGTTTTCTGGTTCTGTCTCTCAGGATTTGCCAGTGGAACCCAGACGCCATGCTGTGAGGAAGCCCAAGGCAATTGGAGAAGCCACTCAGTTCTGTTCTGACTGATAGTTCTAGCTGAGGTCCCTGCCAATAACCAGCAAGGAAGTGAGGAAGCCTCTGAGGTGACTTTGGCCCCAGCTACTGTATGACTTTAACTGTGTGACAGACCTGGAGTGAAAACCACCCTGCTGAGCCCAGTCAGCACTGAGGACCATGAGAGATAATCATGATAAATGGGTATTGTTGTTTTACAGCACTGTATTTGGGGTTGTTACACAGGAACCGATAGAAAATCTCTTCCACTGGGATGAGGAGAGGCAGGAGTCTGGAAAGGAGATGAAGGGGACCCCTGCATGGTTTTGCCATTCCAGGGAGTGAGGTCACTGGCAGAGAGGACCTGAGGCTTCCAGGAGGAGAGCAGTTTGACCACAGTGTTGGGAAGTCACCTAGCCTGGGTTCCTAACAATGCTTGACTAAAAGGCTTTGTTCCCCAAGGGCCTAGGGGCTCCAGAAGGCATGGGACCCTCCTGCTAAAGATATGCTATCCTACTGTGATATAATAACAAATATATATATATTGGTTTTGTCCAGGTTTCCTGGGACACGGCTCCTGAGACCCTTGGAATCTCTATCAGGGCTGGGTTTTGAAAGAGAAATGTTGTCCTGAGTCTTTGGGTCCTTGCTTGGAAGAATCACAAACAGGGCTCCTGCGAGGGAGTGAACACAGACAGAAAGGAATTCCATACAAACCACTGTCATTGTAGAAAAGAAGGAAGAGAGAAGAAAGGTACAAGTGGGTAGAAAAGAAGGAAGCTATACAAAGTGGAGATCTGTTCAAGAGAGGGAGGAATGGGTACCAGTCTGCACCAGTGGAGTTTGAGGACTTCCAGGTGGTTGGTTTCCTTTCATTGGCCTGGTCCCAGGGACGGTTTAAGGGAGGTGTGGGGTGTTACCAGATGATTGATTGTCAGGTGTTCTGTTTTCCTGGAGTCCATTCCCAACTGGTTCCACCCCTCCCTTCTTCTCCACCCCTTCTAACTGTCCTCTTGGCCTGTATCTGCCACTTGCAGATTGGATCCCAGCCTAACAATCTCCAAAGCATAAGTGTCTTTTTGTATGCTAACGACATAACTGGTGGCTGGGGGCTCTTGGAGGGCCTCAGGATGGGGGCTGGTTACCAGGGGAACCAACCTTGTGATTAGAGAGTTGGAACTCTTAGCACCAGTCTCCGCCCCTGGGAAGGAAGGGAGAGGGGCTGAAAGCTGAGTCGACCACCCGTGGCCCGTGATTTCATCAGTCGTGCCTACACGATGAAGACTCCATGAAACCTCAAAAGGTCAGAGTTTGGAGAGCTCTTGGGTTGCAGAACGTGTGGAGGGGCTGGAAGGGTGGCATGCCCAGAGACCATACGTTGCCAGGGGCATCTCTTCCATATGGCCGGTCCCAAGTTGTGTCCTCTTATAACAAATGTGTAATAGTAACTAAAGCCTGAGTTCTGTGATCCTTTCTAGCAAATGATTGATCCAAAGGAAGGAGGGAGGGAAGCCTTGTGGGACTGAGTCCTTAACCTGTGGGATCGGACGCTATCTCCAGACAGATCCTGCCAGAATTGAGCTAAATTGCAGGACACCAAGCTGGTGACCTGGGAGATTGCTTGATAGAGGAGAAGTCTCCCCCTCCCCCATCATCTAGTATTGAGAGTTACATGAGTATAGAAAGAAAAAGTTTTGTGTGTGTGTTGGGGGGGGGTAGGGAAACAGAGTCTCCCACTGTCACCTGGGCTACAGCGCAGTGGTGCCATCATAGCTCACAGCAACCACAAACTCCTGGGCTCAAGGGATCCTCTTGTCTCAGCCTCCCAAGTAGCTGGGACTACAGGCATGTGCCACCACGCCTGGCTAATTTTGTCTATTTTTAGTAGAGATTAGGTCTCACTCTTGCTCAGGCTGGTCTTGAACTCCTGACCTCAAGCAATCCTCCCACCTTGGCCTCCCAGAGTGCTAGGATTATAGGCCTGAGCCACCGCACCTGGCCGGAAAAACAGGTGGATTTTTTTCTCCCCTATGTTCAACTGACTTTGCCCAAACTGACTTCTCCTGAGTCTTCCCCATTTCAGAAAATGGCAGTACCATTTTGCTAAATATTCCACCCAGATGCTAAAGTCATCTTTAATTTCACTCTTCTTGCCCCTGTCCCAATATTTAGTCCATGAACATGACGGGCGGGTGTACGTGCCTGTAGTCCCAGCTACCCAGGAGGCTGAGGCAGGAGGATTGCTTGAGCCCAGGAATTCTAGGTTATAGTGAGCTATGATCACACTGCTCCACTCCAGCCTGAGTAACTGAGTGAGAGCCTGTCTCTAAAAAAAAAAAAAAATTTAAAGAGTGGGGCAGGGGAAGGGTTTCAGGTACTAACAGTGAAATTGGAGAAAGGTGCCCATATTCAAGCAAAATG